AAATTAAATCTACTCAAATTATAGGATTTTGCCTTATAAATCTCTGTGTAGATTACATTAATAGTTGATTGTGCTTTGTTTCTCTTACATTTTCATCAGAACCTCGTTGTACTGTTCAGTGTCCTACAATTTGCAAAGAAAATTATCTTAAAACAACAAAAAGTTTCTGGCTTTTGTTACAAACAAATCTGTAAGAATAACTGATGAATCACCACGTAGATTTTGTCCAATGTGATGATTAATTGTACTGCATTTAGACAAAACAGTGCATGCTAACACATAGTTTCTCCAAAGCCTGCAGCCCACAGGCAGGTATAATCTCAAGCTCCCTAAAAGAGCCGAGCAGTTTCAAAGTTTGTTATTCCTGAAGGCCCTTCTCCAGTTCTGACAGAGACCTGAGCCAAAAAACCAGCAGTAGGGTGCAGGTGGTGGGAGTATCTCTAGAAGCTCACGTTGCTCAAGCTGTCAATTACGTCTTGAAAGCGTAAATAAATATATCCAAACATAGGGCTTTAATAGAACCACATTTTTACTACATCTTTAGCACAGACGGGCCTTGAATCCACAGAGCGGATCCTCTAACGTGTTCTTCTGGCAGAGAGGGGCAATTTTCTGTGCTTGGCATGCAACAAAAGCCAAGGCCATCAACTGCTCCCTGCCTCCTGTCTGTCCCCACTGCAGTAGTGGGCACCCAAAATACCTAGCAGTCATCTGGGATTGAGGCATAACGCAACCAAATCCAAGAGTATGCCTGTCAAGGATGAGCTTTAGGTGATCCTCACAGGTCTCTTCCAAACCAAAGCCCTTTACAACATGTGGTATTCTCACAACTTCTACATTGTTGTTCAGCAGTAGTGTCGTGCAGTGTTAGCAGAGATCTGATTTGTGATTCTATGATTCCACCGTAACTAAAGGAGACACAGAGCAGCTGAATGCTTGCAGAATGGTGGGTTGCTGTACAGGTGATATACAGGTGAATGGCAGGTGATTTTTCTGGGTCAGAAAACTAGGCTGTGCGTGTGCCTCATGCGGTGTCCATCCTACGGAACCTGATTGATTTTTAGCATTTTATTTTAATCAGACTGCTCTTATTGAGTCCCAAGTGTGCTCACGTAAAGCAGCCTCGCTGTCTTTATGTTCTCTGAAGCAATTTATCAAATGCCATCCCAAGAGAGATGGAGAAGGCCTGGTGATAAAGGCAGAATTTGTTGCTTACGTTGCATTCTTTTTTCAGAATGCTTAGCCTGCATCTTTTCCTCAGAAAAAGATCAAGTTAATTGATTTTTCTGCCACTTGGATGTTTCTTATTTACTGCTGGCCTGTATTTCTCACTATTCAGAGCTCTACCTGCTGTCCTTCAAAGTATAAATAAGCTTTTACCTCTCCTGCAAGCTGTCTGCCCTTGAAAGAAACTTGGCTGTTAATCTTTCCTGTTCAGTCAACAGCAAACCTTTTGCTGAGTTCAATTTGCAGAGCTCATGTTTTCCTTCTGCCTGGCTTGTAGAAAGGATTTTATGAAAGATTTACCCTCAGCCAATTTTAAGCATCTTATTTCAATGGGTAATGTTGGCCAGGTCATCTCTACGGGTAGCCACTGCTGCCAGCTGGGAAAGCACGACCTTCATGGGGACCTCTCTGAATGGAGACTGACCTGGGACTCCTAAGTGCAGCAAGTCACTTACTTTTTAGCTTTTGGCTAAAGTCTGACACCTTCTGAATGCCTGAACACCTCATGGAGTCCAGAGTGCCTGGATCAGGTTCAGGTCCAGCTGGGTGCCTCGAGGCATTGGAAACTTTTGTGTTTTATTGAAATTGGGCCCTTGGCTTTCTGATTCAGCGCTGAAGGAATAAGAAGCCTGATTAAGTACGTGCCCAGTTCCCCACGTGGCTGTGTCAGAGAGAGACGTCACCTTACCCACATGCACAGCCCTTTTTGCTCCTGGAGGTTTCCTTTTCAAAGCCATTAATTCCTTGCCTAAATTAAGCTATCCACTTTAGTTTGGAGTAAAATATTGAGCAGTTTTTCATCTGAATTGCTCCCTGCGTGTGACTGCAGGGAAAAGGAGCTAGAACTAGAAACATGGTGCACTGTCATAGCCTGGATGCAGAGTCAATCTATGCCATGGACATTTTGTTTCCAGAAAAGGATCCGTGGAACCCATCATGGAAGGTCCTGCTTAACCATATTGTTGAGAAAGGGAATGCAAATTCTGAGAGAGATGCCTCTCCCTGCCTGGTTCTCAGACACCAGCCCCACTACTGATGCCAAGCCAGCCCTTCCTCAGGCAGAAATGCCATGGTAATAGCACTGAGGGCACAACTCCCAGGCAGTGCTTTGAGAGCAGTCATGGATTTCAGAAGACCCAGACTCTCTTCTCCCAGATCTGGAGAGACTGGAAACCATCCCACTGCCTTCTGCATCCCACCAGCAGCAGGACTGGTGGTGGGTGGGCAGTTGGGTTTCAGGTTCTACTGCAAGCAGTGAGTGTTTTTCTAAGATTAAATAGCTGGTGGACTCCCTTCAGCACCAATGGGATTTGAATTTATGAGGCACACAACTAGACAATGAAAGAATAGGTGACTTTATTATTTATGGAAAATGCTGCATTGAAGCAATGCCATTCTTTTTACAAGCAAGTCTTAACTTGGAGTATCTGCAGTGATGTTACTAATTAGTGCTTTCAAGTCTTGGTTGATAACTCCTTTCTAAATGTGGATGGCAGCAATACAGCACCCCTTTTTATGAAGATTAACATCTGTGAATAATGCTTTTGAGATAGGCCATGTGTATGTGATTAGCTCATTGGTTACTGGGCACCAATTTAAAGAATTACGCTGAATAAACGAACCATTAGTTTCCTTTTTATTTTTTTATTTTTTTGCATTTCTGATCTTTTTGTGTGATTGCATCTTGATCAGCGTTGAAGTCAGCACTTTTATTTTTCCTGTCTTCAAAGTAATCCTTCTCTTCATTAGGATTCCCACAGTACACTGTGGGAAGATATCTGCCCTCCCAAAAGAGTTGTATGAGAGAAGTCCTTGCCAGACAGAGCAGCCCAATTATGTTTGTTTATTCATCACTCATGTGGATGTACAATGGAAGTTGTTTCCAGTCTCCTCTAAAAATACGACTTTTTCTAGCTAATATTTCACCAACCCCAAACTGTGACCTGATCTGAACTTTCAGGGGCTGAGCAATAGTAGGGACATGTAAGCAGCAATAATGTATTTCTCCATTGTTCCAGATGCGATGCCAATCAGTAGTACAAGTCTTGCTTTTGTGAGCAGATAACAAGGCAAAGAAAATATGTGCTTCAGCCTGCCAAGAGGAGTCATCAAGTTAGAGCCCCTGATTTGTGCTGATGAGAGGATGCTATGAGCAGCATAAGCAATTTGCCCCAAGACATACTGAGGAGACTGCTGTTCTGGGGTTAGAGATGTTAAAAAGGAGCATCAAAAAATCTCAAAATATCTGAGCAGAGATCAGTCAATGTGAATATTGTTTTTGGTAACATCAAAGAGGAGAAAAATAAACCACAAGTCTAAAAATATGTTCCTAGAATGCTGTCTTCCAGTTCCTAATTTTATTCAAAAGAAGACATTTTCATTTAGACAGTGGTGAACTTTATGTGGAGATGTGTTTAGTCTTAGTGCAATGAGGCATGCCATTGTCAGTGCAGATACTTCATACTAAGATTTCATCCCAACATATAACTTTCTGTTTTGTTTCTCGTAATTTTGGATGTTTTTCTTTTGTTTTGCATTTGTTGAATACAGGTGTCAAAAATCAGTGTCAGATATTCAGGAAAAATAAGGCAGTGTAAGGCTAAGTGACTTGTCAAGGTAATCACCATGGCAAATACTGACCAGTGTGTTCACATTACACAGATTCATTGTGACCACTGATTTTACAGTGACAGCTGAGGAACAGCAGTGAGTTACAGAGTGAAGCTGTATGTGCATATCAAGCCCGTGTTTTAGACAGCCAGAATTTCCACTTCTTAAATATGATCCCTTTTTAAAGGTATTGGCAGATGTAGCCTTAAGGCCAGAGCTATGTACAAGCTCAGGCTAGATGAGCAGAGCAAGCCAAGCTTCCCTTGCCATGTTTACAGTCCCTTGAGACATAGGGCAAAAGGGGATACTGCTGCTGGGAGCAAAACAGACTTCTCTGAGATCACCTGGCATCATGTGGCGTGGGTTGATGAGAATCCCAGACCCAGAGAGGTGCCTTTTGCTTTAGGCTGCATCTAACTGTAGTTGTTTACAGCAGAGCTGTTAATACCAAAAGACATTGTTTGGCCTCCTGATGTAGCCTGCTGATACAAGCATTTCTGGAAAACAATTCAGCTCCATCCTGGATCCGTCTCTCATATAGGTCAGGTGATCAAACTCCTGAAGAGTTCATATGTTTTTAGGGTTCCACTGACCAGAAAGGGGACCCAAAATATGTAGCTCTGCATGAACCATCAAGATTGTTGTCCGGCAGGAGTTGGACTCAGTGATGCTCATGTGTCTCTCCCAGCTTGGGATATTCTATGATTCTACAACTGTTGACATTGGTAGCTGGATGAGAAGGATCACACTTTTCACCTCTTTTCACCTCTTCATCAAAGAACACGTAACAAGGCTTGGGGTAAAACTGTCAGCATCCTTTGCAGTTACCAAAACTATTTTAACAAGAAAGCTCTCATGGATTAAGGCAGAATTTACTCCCCAAAACAAAGACATTCCACAAGGCTGAAATCTGCAACACTAGTGGCTGTTGAGAGAACTTGCATTAACGATCTTGAGCCTTAGGTTTTTGGAATGAGGATGGAACTTGATACAAGTAATCCCTTGAAGTCTCATTTCCATGCAAGTGAATACCTTGTTTTGTGCTCAGTCACTCATTTCTTTGCATTTTTGAGTTTCACCTGTTGTGTTTTGTTTTGTTTTGTTTTGTTTTGTTTTTTTTTCTTGGAGTAACTAATTTTAATACAAATCTTTTTCTTTCCTAGGGGGTTGTTTATCACCATCCATGATAAGGGCCATATTGCAACAATGCTAAACTCTTGGCCTGAGGAAAACATTAAGGTACGTGTCATGTCTTCTTTGGGCTGGGAAATTAAAAGCAGTTGGATGTAACATGGGATGTTGAATAATTTGGAATAATTACATAATTGCCTGTTTTAAAAGACAATTAAGAAGTATTCCCAGTCTCAGAAAATTTCCAGGCTAGTGGTTGAACCTGAGATAATCTGTCATGCATGTATGCAGTCAAGAACATCTTTATTAAAGCCAGCAGGACCTTGGTCTATAAAAAGAGCCTGCATGATAATAAATTCATACAGAAAGGTATTAGTGAAGATGTAACATTTGAGTGTTGAAGTATGCTGTGACTCATTCACAACTTGTTAGATGTACCAAAACTCTTCAGGATATCTCTGTAACTGAATTGCTTGCAGGACTCCTTCCCTATCCCAGTGAGTCATGCACCATTCAGCACTGCCAACTTTGCAAGTAACATTTGATATCCAGCAGCTGAAGAAATTACAGACACCCCACCCAGAAAGTAATCTTTTGAAGCATTTTTCAGTAGGGCTCAGGGCTGGGCAAGTCCCTGGCATAAAATACAGTCAACGTTTAAGACAAGTCATGTCGATCACCTTCTTCCATCAGTTTGAAAGTATACATGCCTGAGAATTTCCCTGACTATTGACAGAGGTTCCATTCCCTATCACTCAGCTTTTTCTTTCAGGAACAGAGATTGGGGAGCTGTGTGCAAACATGTTCCTTTTTTTTTTTTTAAAAAAAAAAGGGGGGGGGAATTTAAAATGCTTCCAGAAAATATAACCCTATTCCTTGTCTTTGCAACCACAATGAACAAATGTAAACTAGATATTTTGTCCAGATTCTGTCCAAAAATGTCAACATTTCCATTTGTTTCTGATCAGGATTGTGAGCAGAACTCATTCTGGCCAATAGGTATGCTTTTGCAGATGGGGAAACCAGCATGGAGAGATTAGACTCTTGTTGAAATATCCCTCTCTGGCACCCAAAACAGACCATAGGAAGAGCAGTGGTCCATGAAGGAGATTCAGACACTCTGCTTTCTGGATTTGTCAGATCAGCATCAGTCTTGGACTGCAGGGTTGCTTATGTGTTTGTACACAGACTTTGCCACGGCTGACCTGGTAGGCATCTACACACCTGAGATTTTGAGATAAGTAGGGAAGTACCTGAACTGCACCTAAGACCCTGGAGGGACCCATTTGCTTGAACAGGCTCAGACCACACTGATCACTAACAACACTAAGCCCTTTTCGGTGAAGAAACATCTGGAGATGCTATCCCACTTCGTACTTTGTGCCTTCTTAGAGCTTTAAGGCAACAGCATTTACTGTGGCAATGGAAAATGTTAAATTGTGTGCCTGGAACCTGTACAGTTCTCAGAGTAAAGGCTAACAGAGTAAGGGCTGGAAGAGCATTCCACTGAGTTTAGCAAAGCCTCAGCCAAGCTCTAAAGTATGCGTCCCACCTCCAGCTCTCCTGCTGAAGCTGGGCTGCTCTGAAGGAACCAAAGTGCCAGAAGCAGAATAAGCAAGAAGTCATTTCAGAGCACATTCATGCAGGAGCGTGGCATTTTTGTGTCTCTTCCAGGTTTGCTAATGAATCTATCCATGAGGAAGCACTGGGTAAAATATGGGCAGCCCTTTGTTAGTTTTCTCTGTTTCCTTAACCTTGTACTCTTTTCTGCACAATGGTCCAACTAGAGCAAGAGGAACACAGAGAATTGTACAGGATGCTGTTGTGGTAGGGTGTTACAGCAGCTATGGGCTGAAACTAACCTTGATAGTTGGACTAGATGATCTTAATGGTCTTTTTACCTGAAGCTGAGCATAACACAGAAACTTCCTTTTCCCAGACAAGCTTGCAGCCTGCAAGCTACTTGACCAACCTTATTACCTTCCTTCCTACCCTCTTGTCTCTCCTTCCATAGGGTGCTTCCCCTGGGAAGTGCACTCAACACTGCTTCTAGCCAAAGACACGACCAGAGTCATCAGGCAGACATGTAGTACAGCTGGAAGTAGAAAGCAAGTTCCTCATCGTTCTCATTGTTAAACCTGTGGTTCAGTTAGAGGGATCTGCCCTGCTCAGTCAGAGATTACTGTCCTCTTTGTTGAGTCTTTGTGGAGTTTTGATCAGATGGATGTAAGCAATTAAAACACTACTTTTGTATGCCTGTGTATCGGGTATCCACTAAAGCTTGCTTATAGTTTGTTTAGGTTTTTTTTAATCCAAAGATCCACAAATAAACATGAAGCTGGTTTCCCTTCATGGGTGATACGAGCAGCACTGAAAGTGTTCTGTGCTGTATTTTCTGTTCTCCTCTATTTTTCAGTGTTACTTTGGAGATTTTTGGTGCAGCACATCTAACGCAGAAGAAATATTCTCTGTTTCACAAGCATATAAGTGCAGCGGAGATGTTTTTAGGCATTTCTGCATAGTCAGAATTTTCACAATCTTTAATGTAATTTGCATCAGCTTCTGGATGAACCTGTAGCAGTGCATGTGTTTGCTGCTCTTCCTATTCCCAATACAGCCCTCTGGTCCCAATTGCATCCAGGGTGTGGTGAAGGAGTGAACGCACACCCAGAAACAGATGGAGCCCACCCAAAAAGAGTCTTTCCCATCACTAACACTTCACGTTGACTCAGAAGGAAAAACAAATAGGAAAATGTCCCAAAAAATGGGGTAAATGTCCAAATCGTTGTTATGATCGTGAATTTCCCATGGCAGGGTTTGTTCAGCCTTTGGCCCAGCAGTTTTTTAGTCATTCTAGTTTTAATGGCCTTTTCACTGAATTTTCAATTACTTGTAGGAATTCTAAGTCCTATTGACAATGGACTGGCAACATTCTGCATGTAGGATTTCAAAACAATCCTTATTACATAGAGGTTGTCACTATTCCTGTGTGCATTACAACCCTGGAATTTGTCATGCACAGTACCACCCTGTAACTGAGTGGCTTTTCTTGCTAAAGGGCAAAATAGATGTAAAAAGCAGAATAGATGTTTCCTGTGTATTTTTAGTTTATCCTCAGGCTTATTCCTGAACTACATAATGTAGTGTAATTCTGGTCTGTTACAAACCTTGGTTTAGGTTGAGGGAGAAAATAGCCTTGGGAGGTGCACATAGTTTACGTTGAATAAGAGTGTGATTGTTCATTGTGAATCCCTTGTGCACAACTTTAAGTCCTTCCATGGCTTCTCCCTTTAATCATCTGAAATATGCAGGGCAAGGACACTGAAAGAAATCAGTATGCATCTTCCTGAAATAGAAAAGTGCAGCAGAAAAGTTTTATTCCATTCCTAAACAAGAAAACGCTTCACCGTCCCAGCATTAAAGCAACACATCTGTATTATCCCCACCCAGAAAATGAAGTCCATTTGTTGAGGCAGCAGTTAATGCCACATTTTCTTATTTCTTAATTCAGCACACGTATGTGTCTTCAGTTTAACTTTGCAGATCTTCAATTAAAAACTTCTTTGCAGTCTTCTCCTTTGAAATCCAAGCTAAACTTGAGCTGCCCGCAGTCAATTTGATGTGAGCACTCTGAAGTGCTGGGACAGTGGTGGAAGTGGAATCTGTTGGGGTATGTGCAGCTTTTATCCACCATGGAACTGGACTGCAGTGTCATCCCGTTCTGGCTGTGTTTCAGAACTGCCCACTGAAGTGCCAGAGCCTGGGGACTAAACCGACTAATAGAGTAGTTAGCCTGAAATTTATAAAGCTTGGTGAAAGCTGCTTGGTCCTTTACTTCCTAAGGTACAAGGCAGGTTGAATAGGTCAGCTTTGGGCTTCTAATTTGGACCTTGGTAAGCATGCTTTTATTTTTATTTTTATTATTTTATCTCTTTCTTATCACAAAGAAGTGATAGAGTAATGAGAAAAACAGGAAGATATGGAATAGAGAGGTAGCACATTGCACTATTGCTGAAATGCAAGAAATTGGCTGCATGAGGAGTTAAAGGGCAATCCCAGCTGGGTGGCAAAAATATCTGGTGTTAAATAGGTATTGTGAGAGGTCCCCTCAGCCCATGCTGCTTGCCCATGCTGATGGCTTGTGTCTTGGAGTTTGGTGTACCAGAGACAAAGGGACCAGATGTAATGTGTTTTGCATTAGTTTTCTTGTGCTGGCTACTTCACTGTAGATCTTCAAGAGTGGGCAGGCATGAACTTGTTACTTCACAGGGGCATTTCAGAAGCACAAGCACTTCTGTGCAGAGCTCTGTTTCGAGGCGAAAAAGAAAAAGTCAAAGCCAGATCTCTTTTGTGCAGCTGCTGGTTGTGCAGGCAGGGACACGTGAAGAGCCATGCCTGTTGGGTTCTGCTGTGTGAAAGCTGAAGTGCTGGCAAGCAGAGCTGCTGTTTTCCCACACTGAGAGCAGTTACCCATCAGTCACATTATCTCCATCCCAAAATGAGCAGCCCTGTATCACTAACAGCTAAGAAAGAATCATAGAATCATGAAGGTTGGAACAGGCTTCTAAGATCATCTAGTTCAACCCCAGCCCACCCTTACCATGCCTACTAACCATGTTCCTCAGTGCCACATCTCCACAGTTCTTGAGCACCTCCAGGGATGGTGACTCTACTATTTCCCTGGGCAGCCTGTGCCAATGCCTCACCACTCCTTCTGATAAGAAATATTTCCTACTATCCAACCTAGACCTCCCCAGGCACAACTTAAGACCATTACTTCTCATCCTATAGACCATTACCTTTTGTCATGTATATAATGTGGTGTTATGTAGAAGGAACAAATATCCGTTGCACCATACAACTGCAAAATGGCATTGATGTGAAAACCATGGTGCTGGTTTTGTTGTTCGAGCCTTGACAAGTCCATTCAGCAGTGTCTTTTGGTCCTCCTAGGCTATCGTGGTGACAGACGGAGAGAGGATTCTCGGTTTAGGAGACCTAGGAAGTTATGGTATGGGTATCCCAGTGGGGAAGCTGGCTTTGTACACCGCTTGTGGAGGAGTTCACCCACAGCAGTGTCTCCCTGTCCTGCTGGATGTTGGCACAGACAACGAGGTAAGACCTAGAGATTTTCATAAACCTGCTGGGGGGAGAAGGAATTGAGGTTAATGCTCAGCTGAGGCCAGTTCCCTAAATGTGTGGAAGCAAAGCCAGAGACATCCATGATGAGATGATGGCTAGACCAGCACTGCAGGGAAGCGACCAGGTTGCATTGCTGTTTGATGCTCATGAAACTTTTGCTTTTATTGGAAACTGAAATGAACACTGAACAGCCTCATGGTCCCCTGGAGAGAAGAGCATTGCCATTTGGAGCTGAAGGATCAGCTCCACCTTTCAGCATGGCCATGTGAGTTAAAAGACTTCAGACAGGAAGATCTAGATTTATCCTTCTTGTGGTAATTGTGAGAAAACAGATACCCACGTCTGCACAGAGATGATGGTATTTGAGAAAACAGGGAATCCCTGCTGGGTGGTTTGGGAATGATTAATTGCAGAGTTTTGTCAGTGTGCACACTTGGCTACATGTGATAGCCTGACAGGAGGACTGCATCTGTTTGCAGATTTTTTGCCTTCTGACTCTGGCTCAGAAAGTGCAACATTTTAGCGATGCCAGGAAGGACAGTGAGGTTAATTTTTTTAAAAGGAATATACTGTCATTATATGTGATGGCCAGGCTTTGTTCACTGATGTAAATTGTACTTGTGCCTCAATGACCCTGTGGAAACCAAACACGTGTTTTTCGAAAGAAATAGAAATCTGGGGTGTAAAAGCTTTAAGCTTGTTATGAAGACAGATGCTACCATGATGCTAGTGTGAATGTCTGATATTTTCAGAAGTGCTTGCTGGGATTTGAACAGAAAGACAGCAGATGACCACAGATGACATCTAAGTTGAAACTGACAATTCGCTGTTTGATCTCAGTCTCAGGGCTGTTTTATCCCTCTGGCATAGTGATCTATCACAGACTTAGGGTGCATCCCATCTCAGCCTGATCCACAATCTTTCCTGAAAATTGGGATCTCTGAGTTTGGACCTTCTGAGTTTGGACTCCTCTCACTTTTTGGAATCCCACTCCATAAAGGAGTGCACTTTAGCTTGATTCTTTCATCTTTTCTTCTTCCTCTTCCTCCCTCCTGCTTTGCACTCCACCAAGTGCTGCACGCTCTGAGCTCCCCTCCAAAGGCACATGAGTGGAAGTGCTTCCTTACCCATGGGAAGCTTCTGAACATACATGTCAATCTGGTTCACTCTTAGCATCCTCTGAGGGACACTAAAATTCTAAATGACACCACTGATTTCTTAGGCTTCTCCAGAAGTCAGCTGGTGTCAGAGAAAGGGACTGCCTGAATCGCTCTCTTGGGCACTTTTATTCTGCCTAAGATCAAGTTTAGCTTGTATGTCCTGAATATTCTCTGTGGAAGCAGTTTTCACAGCTGAGATTAAAATATAGAAGTTACTGCTTTCCAGCAATATAATCAATGTATTTACTTGCAATAAAAGCAATTGAATTATTTCACAGCTTTCTTATAAACGCAGCCCAACCCAACTCTAACTATATTCTAGTAACATCCTGCCCCACAAGTAAACTCATTTACCAGTATAGAGATAGCCACCTCCTGTAGGCATTCATCCTGTTCTTCTCAGCCTATTGCTATATGGTAAGCCTGGGGCACCTCAGGTAGAACAGAGTAAGTACATCAGTTCCCAGCTCATCTTTCTGACAGTCCATAATATTTTGTAGACTGTCAGCAAATCAGTCTTTTCAAAGCTTGGCCTTTCTCAGCTTGCTATTGAGGGAATGCTATACTCCATAAACAGTCCCACAGTCCTAAAAGAACAATCAGCAAAACAGTGCAAATGGGTCTGTTCTGCTTCGTGACCCCAAAGAGTTAAGTATCAACCTCAGAGGAAAACCTCTCTCATCTTTCCTTCTAAGGAAACATCTGTGGCTGTTAAAGCAGATCTAATTTTAGCCCACCTGCCAATATTTGGGGCCATATGGCTGCAGGACAATAGGTCTGCAATGGCTTGTCCCCTTCTCATATTAATGATTCAGTTCCTGAAATCAGAAGGGAAGTTGGGTTGTTTTGCAAGTGACTCACTGAGGTGTTGGCCCACCTGTGTCCTGCCACTGTTTGCCCCATGATTTTCCCCAAAATATCTGTTATTCCCATGCTGAGTCAGTTCTTTTTAGATGGCTTGAGAATCCTCATTTACGACCTGGTGGATTGGTTTGGAGGAGCAGCCTGCTCTTGTATTCACAACAAGCATCGAAAATGAATCTGTTGTGAAAATCCCATGTGCCTTGACAACTGCAGACAGCTGGAGTGGAGTGCTAGCTAGGTGAGGAGCTTGGGCACACCTCAGCATGCCATCACAGGTTCTGGTGTGCTCTGGGCTAACAAGCAAAAACTCAAATTACCAATGCCATGGAATCTTAGAATCCTTAAAGATGGAAGGGTCCTTTAAAGGTCATCCAGTCCAACTCCCCTGCAATGAACAGGAACATCCACAGCTTGATCTGTTTGCCCAGAGCCTTGTCATTTGGGATCAGTCATCACTTCAGATGACTTTCATTGCTCAAACTACTGTTTATGGTCACAACATCTTTCCCAGCAACCTCCAGTGCAAAATCAAGTGCTAACTGAACAGTAAACACTCCTCTCACAAAGTCAGCTTTATTCACTGGGAATGAGATACCTCAGCAAGGAGTCACGGTGGAGCTGCGAGGGGGATGCAGAGCTCCATTGCCCACTGCAGTTAAGAAGCATCACAGCTCTCTGGCTTTATTCCCACAAAAAGTCAGCTGGTAGCACAGCTGACTTCTTACACTTTCTGCTCACAAAAAGCTACGTGATCTGCCAAGTGAGTAACAGTAATTTGCCCACAACAGGAAGACTTCCTTGGGTAGGCTGGGCCATAAATCTTCACCCAGCCGTGGATGAGATGCTGTCAACAGGATTGCTTTGTGTCCTAGGCTCTCCTGAGTGATCCACTCTATATTGGACTGAAACACAAGAGGGTCCGTGGGAAACAATACGACGAACTGATTGATGAGTTTATGCAGGCGGTTACCAACAAGTAAGTGGTGTTACATACATGGCTCCTCTGAACTGCTTCCATTTAAGAACAAATGTTGCAACTCTTGAAATAAACATTAGCGTAATGGATGGTTGCAGGCAAAGAAGGGTCATTTAAATGCAGGTCTCCTGGGTGGCCTACAAATGACTCTTTGTGCTTGAGCACTCTGTGTCAAAATTATTTATGTCTTCAGAGAGCTGAAATGGGACTGACTATTTATAACCATTTCCTGTCCATATAGGCCAGAGGTGTCAAACATATGCCCCATGGGCTGTATCTGGTCTCCATCATGCATTTATGAGACTCATTCAGCATAGACAGAATCTAAACTTTGCTTTGTTTATGCTTTATACAGGAAGTTTCTAGCTCTCACCATTATGGGGGAGATCTAATTGGAAATGGCGTGCTGCTGAATGTGATGGTGTCTGTGAGAGTTGCAAGCAGCCTGTCTGTCACTTAGCAAAAACAGCAGCTTCCCTGATGGCGTGATGAAGCCATGTTTTTTGAGCATTGCCTTTCTCATGGTGGGACAGACTGCATGCATGTTTCCATTCCTATCGTACTGCAGGGATGTGGGGTCTCTGCTGTACCAGGGAGTCTGATGTGAAAGGAGCAGAGCCACTTCTCAGTGCTGTGTGTGAACCTCTGCACTGCACTGATTCCCCCCTTCTGGAAAACACATTTAAAATCTGCATGACTTTGTGGAGGGGTTACCGTAAGGAAGAAAGTGAGAACTGCTCTTTAAGAAGAAAATAATAACTGGGAAGCCCCAGGTTCCCAAGCAGCTTCTCTCCTTCCTAAAGCAGCAGAGGACACTGGCAGAGAGCTGTATCTGTGCCTGATTCATGGGCTGCTGCTCATCTGTGTGTTGTAGGTGTGCTGTAGTGTCTTTCCTTCACAGCCAAAGGAGTGATGTTTGATCTTCCCTTGTTCTGTCTTTCCAGCTGGCAGCATGTTTGTATTCCTGCATAAATGCAAGGGAGTGGGTGGTACATGTGTCATCAGCACTCAGGTCATCAAATCTCCCTTGAGGTAGGAGGCAGAATGCCCATTGTCTAATGACAGCCCCTTCCCATCCATTGAGAAGCACATCTTCACATACAATCTGACCACCCATCTGGAAGGATGTAGGGAACAGGGGCTGCAGTGCTGAGGACCATCAGCCACAGCTGAGGAACCGAATTTTGAGAGATGAGTGCTTCATGGAGAATTTTGGCATTGTGATGTCGTCGCTCCATGCAGCATTGTGCTGCACACTGGGCACTAGGATGGGAGAATCTGTGATCTCTGCTGCTCAGCAGTGTGATGTAGACACACCCCATATGACAGCAGGCCAGTACATCACCCCTCCCAGCTGCAGGTGCCCACAAGCTGTGCAAAATTTCTTCTCCTCAGCCTGCACTATAGCTGTGAATGTAAACACAGCCATACAGCCCTGCCTGCTGCATTCAGGATACCTGAGGATGATTGCAACAAAGAGTGTGTTGTGCCTGTATCACACATCAGTGATACCACACGCAAGTTCAGTTGTTTGGGGATCCAGTTATATCTTTCCTCCTTCTCTTTCGGATTGCCACAGACCTCTTGCAATCTGGAAATCTCTTTTGCAGCTTGGTGTTCGTGAAGAAATGCTGTTTCCTCAGGGTACTTCTTCCCACAGAAACCATTTGTCAGTTCGTTTTCAGGAGCGCCGCCCACACCGCCAAATCACTGCTGGCTCAAGGGACGTTTGTCACTGACATGGAATGTGTCCAAGCCCACAACAAAGCCAGGGGATTGAAGATATACTGTCCTAATGGAATAATAATATTAAGCAGATGTCAAATTTCTAGAACTGGAGACCACTGCAGTCAGCAGAAAGAGCTCCTGGTCTCATTACAGCCACTTTATAATGAAACCAGGAGTGTGTCAGAGGCTTCACAATTAGCACTTGCAGTATATTGAAATAAAGTTTGGCTTCTGAGTAATTTTAGAAAGAAAAGCCCTTTCTCAAATACCTGGATAAATTTCTGCATGGTGCCTAAATCTCCATTACTGTTTCACTTAGAATACATAAAATGACAGAGCTCTCTAATAACAGCTCCAAATTGTGCCTTTCGACCCTCTTGGGACGCAAGCACAAGAAAACTTTGCCCATTGAGCCTGCCCTCTGACTGAACGAAACAGCATGGCAAGTTGCTGATCTCTCGCAGTGACTAATAGGCTTTGTAGGAGAATATACACTACTTCTGTTTTCTGATTCTCAGTTACCATAGTAAAGGGTAGGTCAGTCTCATTCTTGAACCGGCACATTTTTGTAGGATGGAGTAACTGTTCACCCTTAGTGTCCAAGGATTACATCAGAGTAACCCGAAGAATTTCTGAGGCCGACATATTTGAGGTTCAACAAATCCAAGTGCAAGGTCTTGCACCTGAGTTGCAGCAAGCCCCAGTTCAGTACAAACTAGGGGTTGTACGGATGGAGCACAGCCCTGCCAAAAATGCCTTGGAAGTACTGGTGGATAGGAAGCTGGACATGAGCCAGCACTGTGCCCCCACAGTCCAGAAAGCCAACTGCATCCTGGGCTGCATCAAAAGCAGTGTGGCCAGCAGGGCGAGGGAGGTGAAGTTTTTTACAGTAAGTATGGTGAGGCACTGGCACAGGTTGCCCAGGGAAGTGGTGGATGCCCCATCCCTGGAGACTCAAGGTCATGGGGTTGGATGGGGTTCTGAGCACCTGATGGAGCTGCAGGTGTCCCTGTTCATTGCAGGGGGTTGGACTGGATGGCCTTTAAGGTCCCTTCCAACTCAAACAATACTATGATTCTATGATGAGTAATTTAAGGTTGAAATCAATACTCTATGGGAGATACTGCTGTGCTGGGGCTTATTCCAGTCACTCCTGTGGTTCTGTCATACATGAGCAGTGCAGCTTGGTGGCTCCAAGTGGCAGGAGGTGGTGATGGACATCCTGTCCCCAGCTCCTGGCTCCATTTTGGATGCTGGCTTCCTGATGGATGCTGAGCACGTAGCCTGAGGCTGAGGCACCACACTCCAGAAGCCTCATTAAGCTGTCTTAACTTCACTCCTGTTTCCTTTCCCATCAGTGCTCATTAACAGGGTGACTGGCAAGATAGAAGCTTTCTCTTTTATCAGCCTCTGCCATATGGCCAGCACAGAAGACATCAGGAGATCAGGTGCTCAGCTTCTCAAAATGGGAGGAGAGTGAAAATAGCTCTGCTGAGTTAGTTTTTCTTTGGTTTTGTTTTTGTTTTTTATACCTATTTATTATACCTATT